TGTATTCCCCCCAAATTATACCCCATGCTTCCACCCTCTGTATGCTTCCTTTTTGTGTTTGATTTCGATCAATGCCTCCTGGCATTTTTGCCTGACTTCCTATTCTCTGGGATGAACTACTCATGAGGGGGGTGATCTTTGAATATTAACCAACCTTTCTTGGGCTCTCTTCCCTCCAGGGCCTTATCCCATGGCACTCTTCTAAGCAGATCTTTGAAGAGACCAATGTTCAGTCTCCTGAAGTCCAGGAGCCTGCTTTTTACATTAATCCCTCCTCTCAGGGTTTTGAGCTCCACTGTTTCATGGTCAGTGCAGCCAAGGCTGCCTTTGAACTCTTCTAAGCAGATCTTTGAAGAGACCAATGTTCAGTCTCCTGAAGTCCAGGAGCCTGCTTTTTACATTAATCCCTCCTCTCAGGGTTTTGAGCTCCACTGTTTCATGGTCAGTGCAGCCAAGGCTGCCTTTGAGCTTCGCATTCCCAACAAGACCCTCATTGTTGGTACAAGGTCCAGCAAAGCACTGCTCTTCATTGATCCTTGCTGGCTCCTTTATGACTTGCAAGAAAAAGTTATCAGTGCACTCCAGGACCTTCTGGATTGTTTATGCCCTGCTGCGTTGTCCGTCCAGCAAGTACCTGGGTGGTTGAAGTTCCCCATGATGACCAGGGCTTGTGAATGTGAGGCTGCTCCTATGTGTCTACCTCATCTGCTTGTTCTTCCTGGACAGGTGTCCTATAGCAGACACCCACGAGCTTCGCATTCCCAACAAGACCCTCATTGTTGGTACAAGGTCCAGCAAAGCACTGCTCTTCATTGATCCTTGCTGGCTCCTTTATGACTTGCAAGAAAAAGTTATCAGTGCACTCCAGGAACCTTCTGGATTGTTTATGGCCTGCTGTGTTGTCCGTCCAGCGAGTACCTGGGTGGTTGAAGTACCCCATGATGATCAGGGCTTGTGAATGTGAGGCTGCTCCTATGTGTCTACCTCATCTGCTTGTTCTTCCTGGACAGGTGTCCTATAGCAGACACCCGCTGTAATGTCACCTTTACCTGTCTTCTCTTTAATCCTTGCCCATAAACTCTCATTCAGTTCCTCATCCACCCCCCCAAGCAGAGCTCCATGCACTCCAACTGCTTTTTCACATAAAGAGGGCACTTCCCATCCTTGTCTTCCTAGCCTGTCCTTCCCTGTGTCCCTTCATTATAACTCTAGTCATGGGAGCCATCCCACCACGCCTCTGTGATCCTAACAAGATCGGAGCCCTGCTCTAACTCATCCTGTTTATTGCTCATACTGCGTGCATTAGTATAGGGGCACTTTAGAGAGGCACCCCAGCACATTGACTCCCTAGAAGTTTGATGGGTTGACGTGGTACTGGGGGCCATGGTTTAGTGATGGTTTTTTGTTGTCTTCTCTTTAATCCCATAAACTCTCATTCAGTTCCTCATCCACCCCCCCAAGCAGAGCTCCATGCACTCCAACTGCTTTTTCACATAAAGAGGGCACTTCCCATCCTTGTCTTCCTAGCCTGTCCTTCCCTGTGTCCCTTCATTATAACTGTAGTCGTGGGAGCCATCCCACCACGCCTCTGTGATCCTAACAAGATCGGAGCCCTGCTCTAACTCATCCTGTTTATTGCTCACACTGCATGCATTAGTATAGGGGCACTTTAAAGAGGCACCCCAGCACATTGACTCCCTAGAAGTTTGACGGGTTGACGTGGTGCTGGGGGACATGGTTTAGTGATGGTTTTTTTGTCAGAGGTTGGTTGATGGTTGGACTAGATGATCTTGAAGGTCCCTTCCAACCTAGATGATTCTATGAGTCTAGAAAGGGGTTTGGGGGGGTTCTCCATCGTGCTGCCTTGCAGGCATTTCTTTGCTTACATGCAAGTGCTGGGGGTAACCCTGCTCAAGCCCCATTCTGTTGATTTTGTGTTCCTGTCACATCATCCCATGCCCATTGCTCTTTGACCGTGTCCCTCACTCCCATAACCACAGGGCTGCTGGTTACTTGCTCCCTCCCCCTTCATTCTTAGTTTAAATCCCCAATTATGCAGTCGGACATCCTACTGGCAAAAATAGCTTCACCCAGCTTATTGAGGTGGATCTCATCTCTCTCAGGCAGAGGGTGATCTGCAAGCAGGGTCCCATGGTCATACAACGCAAAGCCTTGTCACCAACACCAGTTCTGCAACTAATTATTGACTTGCCCTATTAGTGCCCTTCTCCTCATTTCCCCTCTGTGGCAGGATTAAAGAAACCCGGGCCCCCACGCACGTGATTCTTGCTATTTATCTGCTACTGCTCTCCTGCTTCATCATAGCGTTACTTCAAGCCACCCACAGTAAAAGTCAGTTTGAATGGCAGCTTTGTGAATAAATGACTCTCAGAAATAAAATATCACATGGTATTTAACATGTCAGCATTAATTTAGTGCACTTATTTTTCATGTAAACAGTGTGACTACTACTAATGTTAGTTTTAAGCCTCCTTCCATATATGAATGAAAAAATAGCTTCATCATAGAAGACAGACATACTGAGATGCTGAAAGGCAAAAAAGAAAAAAAACCAAAGATCACACAACAGCTGAAATATTTTTCCATGTATTTCCTGGATTTGATGTGTAAACTCATAATTATCACCTTCTGTGATTCTTGGTTGTTTTTTTTTTCTACTGTTTCACTGCTAATTAAACAGAATCCCAGAATCACATGGGGTTGGAAGGGACCTCTGGAGATCATCTCCTCCAACCCCCTGCCAGAGCAGGGCCACCCAGAGCAGGTTGCACAGGAACGTGTCCAGGTGGGGTTTGAATGTCTCCAGAGACGGAGACTCCACCACCTCCCTGGGCAGCCTCTTCCAGGGCTCTGCTGCCCTCAAAGTGAAGAAGTTCCTCCTCATTTTTAGGTGGAACTTCTTATACTATTTAGCAAATTTGTGCAACTTAATCGCTATTGTTGGACTGTATAAACATCGCTGATTGGAGCATTTTTATTTCCTTATTAAAATACTGGAAACCTGACTACCACTTGGAAAATTAAAGCCATTGTTGCTGCCTAAACTGTCATATTTTGCATTTATAACTTAAATTTGCAATTAGAACATTGATAGCAGCCATTCTGTTTGTAGCTTGCATTTGCACTTAATTACTTTTGATTCTTGAGAATAGCTAATAGGTGGTGCAATAGTAACAAGTTAGTAGAACAGCAAGGTGGCATTATTTTTCCAATTGCTGATACCTGCTGAAAATGACACTCATTTGAATATGAATTTTTCAGTTGCAATTTATGTAAGTGCTTACTCTTGCAATGAACGACCCATCCAAACATCCTCCTGGGATTTAAACAACACAGTTAAGGAAAAAAAAAAGGGAAAATAGGGAATTGCTGTGCAATCATATCAGCATTTACAATGTCTCCAAGTCCAAACCTCCAAAGGAAGTCTGTGTATCACATAGGATGTGGAAACTGTTTCTGAACTCAGTGATGCTCTCTGGCAACCAATTCCACATGTTCATTATTTGCTCCTTAATTATTTTATTTTATAGAATTTAAATATATTTCGACCTCCTTGTTTCTCTCCTTGCTCCTTAAAGTGAGCAAAACATTGCCTTTGTAACCAGATTTCCCTTTTGGGTCAATGTCTCATACTGCCACTTACTCTTGATCTAGAAAATTTAGATGTCATGTGGTTTGGGGTTTTTTGACTCCTATCTATATAACATAATGAGAGAGGGCATGGACTTGGCATGCATTAAAATGCTGATTTCTTCAATAGCATACTTTTTCAATAAGTTTTTTATCCCATTTTACACATATCTCAATATTCTTCCCTCCTTAGAAAGCAAATGTTCTTACTGAGCAGTTCGTAATAAACAATGACCAAATTATTTTCCATGGTAATCTTCAAATTCAATCTAAAATGCAGTAATAGAAAGAAATAGTTCAAATTATTAGTTTTAGCACTGCTTACCTTTGAAGTACGAAATCTCCAGTTACTAAATGCTGTACAGTCATATAGCTGATAGATTTTTTCTGCAGTCGCGGTCGGCCTTCTCCAATTCTGAGTAATGTGTCCTGCGTCACTCATTTCAGAAGAATCTTACACTGTGTGACACCACACACTTTCACATCACCAATTCATTTTGATTTTAGTGCACATTTTGGGGAGAAGTAGCATTAGACTGCTCTGCTCTCCCTTTCTGTTACTTCTGAATTTTCTAATTTGTAATTATTTAGTCTTCAAATTCTGCGTTCTCGGAGTTTGTCAGTGTCATTTTGGAAAACCACTTGTATTTTCTTCGTATTTGGTCATACTGCAATGAGTACAGCTTTTCCATTAACCATGTAGTTGTGTAAAAGCTATTTATCTTCTTTTATCCAGTATGGTAACATCAGTCCTATACTTAAAGAGGGAGGAATGATTCTTTCCAGCTTGGTCCCTCTTTACCCTTTGATAAAACATTAAAAAGTCTCCTTCTCTGTTGCTTTTTGTGCAGAACACCCATCGCTCTGCCTGGCTCGTGCCTGGGATTAGAACCATCACCCTACCACGAATATCCTCTTTTACTCTTCATGGTGAGCCTTTGACAACTCAGCTGGCCAGGTGAGTTTCAGAATAGAAGCTCCTGTAGTACGGTGTGATTGATCTTCAGTCCTGCACCAGGGAGAGGAACCACTCGTGTTGAGCTCCCAAGTACTTCTCCACCTCCCCAACTGCAGGAGAGCCACAGCTGTGTGATATCAGCTGTGACAGCTTTAGGGTTAGAGAGCCCTCATCAGGTGGGCCAGCCCCTTCCCCCAGCTAAAAATGTCAAGCTTTATAGAAGCTGGCTACAGAACAGTTATTAAAAAAAAACAAAAAAAAAAAAAAAAGAAAAAAGAAAAAAAAAAGTGAGAGAAAAAATATTAGAAAGAAAAATATTAGAAAAATATATTAGAGATTGATGTAAGAAAAGGCCCAGAAGACAGTAAGGACAATAAAACAGAACTCAGACTTAGTAATGTTTCATTTTATTTGATAGAAAGTTGCTTCAAAAATATGATTAACTATATACATTCTTATATGCTGTACATACAGGTATATATACAAAATATACATAATAGTACACATCTTTCTGTTACATTTTATGGATGGTAGTTCATCACATGAGATAGAACTTACATCAGATTTCATACCTGCTTTCATCCTGATCCTGTCTACAAGGAACCGATAGCCACGTGAGATGGAAGGGCTAGCTGATCGCTTCATTCCTACCCCAGCCCACACAAAAGCCTTCTCCACAGTGCATTTTATTAGTGCATTGTTCTAGTGCAGTTAGGTTTGCAGCACTACCCTTCAGAGGTATTTGGCTGCTAGCCTGGTCTTCAGATTTTTTTCCCAGTGTTCACCCTAATACTACTTCTAACGTATTTTCTCCTCTAGTCAAGCTAGATTTCTTCAACTTTTTTTTTTTCTTCTTTTTTTTCCCTCCTTTATCTTGATTCCTTAGTTGCTTGTTTGCCACATCTGAAATAGATTTAACTATTAGTGCTCTCTGTCCTGGGAGAAGTACACTCAAGCACAAAAGCTATAATCCCAGTGTTCTCTCCTTCCCATGCTACCAGCACGCTATAAACCTCAAATCACTAATCAGTCAGCGAGGAAAATAAAATGTACTTTCCCTCCTCCTCCTCAGGCAATTATAGGGTGTACGACTGCCTGCTGCTCCCTGGAACAAGTGGTGTTAGATCCCAAGAGGAACTGCCCCAGCCACTGGGATTTTTCTGGTCCCAGTCCCATGAGGAATGCTCTACCTGTCCACGCTCTAGGCAAGAGGTAGCACACCAAAATCAAAACACGGAGAGTAGAGGCTGGCAACTCGGCCCTTTACCAGTCCCTTCCAAGAGATTGTCCTCCATTTCCCAACTGGAGGGATCTGGCACCCTTATCCTATGGACCTGATGTTCAGGGAAGAGGGAGGGAGAGCTGCCAAACCAGCAGGGGACTGGCAGCAGAAGGCCTGTGAGAGAAGCCACGGCCTCCACAACAACACAGGCTATCCTGGAGGACTCTTCCCTGAGCTATGAGGGAACGTGGCTTCTTTCATTGCCTTTCCAACCTTCAGAAGTCAAAAATGAGCTACTTCTTTCCTGCAGACTTCTCAAGAGCGGCAGCTTCACTGCCCTAAGAATGTTCTCTTATTTCCAAGTTAACAGCAGCCTTAAATATCTATTTTGTTCTCTTTTCATGGGGCCCTGTGCTTTCTAATCCTGTGCTGGCCATAGTCCTTATTTCACTAGGAAATTTTTCTATTCTCTTTTCGTAACTCTATATCTTTTTTGTATTAATATGCAATAGCTTTCTCTGGTCAGTAAAGCAGTTTTCCATCAGCTGTCAAGGTGAGAGCAAGGGGATTAAGGTTCCTCCTACACATTCATTTGGTATTACTTTAAATAACGTTTTTGTCTAACTAAGGGGAACTCTTCTTATATTCTTCTGAATAAGTTTATATTTTTAATTACCGCATAACATGCATATATTTAATAATAGCTTAAAGCCAAAGATATTAATATCCCGTCACATTTTTATAGGCTGTGGGATTATCATTTGTTTGAGAAAATGGTTGTCAGGCTTCTATTCTGCTTGCAGTATCTCTGTTCACTGTTACAAGGCCCATTTAGGTATTATTATTATTTTTTTTATTTTATTTTATACTATTCTTTAATCTCGGTTGAGAATTTGAACTGGTATGAAACACCTTCTGTTATTCTTTGTCTGAATTCCTGAGATCCTGTCCACAACCCTGGTTGGGAGAGGGCGCTGGTGAGCTTCTGGTGAGGTGAGACTCCACCTTGGAAGAAGTGGGTTTGAAGCACTCCTGCTGACCTTGTGTGGTGGGAGGTGGAGTCAGACAGCTGTCACTTTGCTGAATTTGTGCATTAGCAGCTGGTGAATCATCATCCTGCTGGTCTTGTGTGCTGAGAGGAACAGCAGAAGAGATGATGCCCTGAGGAGCAGCTGTTGAGCCACTGTTGAGACAATTTATAACCAAGCTTGAGATACTGACATTAAACGTGCAATTACTACTGTGCTTAGTTTCCGAGCATCTGAGTTTGTTTATTAGCTACAGAACTAGTTTTCTTCATTGACATGTTCCCCTTTTCCTTGTTTCACCTCAGCCATGTGGATCTGAGATGGTGACTTGTCTGCCTGGTTGGACTTGGCTCCAAATTGCTTCTCCTGAACTGTAATCATCTTCTGGGGAAAAGCAGAGCGGGTGGGCAAGGAAGGAGGAGCAGCAGGGGAGGAGATCATAACTGCAGTATCACCAGTTTTACAGGTAGGCAACGTGTGGGTAAGTTGTTACTAAAGGTACCACACAACAGGATTTTCTCTTGACCCCTCTCTGTGCTTCGTTGCTGGAAAGTGAACTGTGAGACTGTGAGCACTTTTAAACTCTCCTCATTTTCTTACAAAGAAAACTTGTGTCGTCTGAGTTAAAAGAATCACTACGGTTATCTTGATTACTTACAAGGTGCTTAAATGCTTTTGCAATGAGGAAATACTGAACAGATGTACAATGAACCCATTATAAATGCATTCTAATAATTATCCATTCAAGAGAGACTATGCAGGCAATATCTGCATTGGTTTCAATGGATGTTGGACTGGATTTTACATAAGCACTTATCAATAACAGACGTAAAGACATTTTTAAGATATCAAGTTTAAATTGAAAGGTCTATAGGCAGTATTAAAAAACAACCCAGAGCTGTTATAGTTCTAGCTCAAGATCCTCCTGTCAAGGCTTCAGGAATACTGTGACTTCAGGAGACTCAGGAATTAACAAAATATATGGATCTGATAAAGACTTAAAATATAAAATATTTCAGATTTAATACTTTCAAAGAAGACAGAATCTGTGTTTCTGTGCTGTTATTTTTACCTCCTATGTCAAGGAAAAATAGTATAGTGAATTAATGGACACGGCACGTTACAAATGCAGAGGACCTTTGCTTTATGAAGCCTTCTCATCTCTAGGAGAAAAGCATTAACATACTAAACTGTATTTTAGCCAGGCTAGGGCATTTGCTTATTGTTTCCAGATGGGAAAACCTGTGTATGTGGATTCTTCCAACAGATACTCTCTGAGTATTTATCAAGTAGTAATTCATAGACTACTGGTGGTCCATGGAGTACTTCCAGGTGGCTTAGAGAGGAATTATAGCAGCAAAGCTATTTTTCAAACAATTGTGTCATAACATAGTCAAATATCTTGGGGTAGGTTTTGTTTGTTTGTTTTTTTTATTGTGTTTTGTTATGAAGTGTCATACAGTTGCAAATACGGATTTGAAAACATGCACAAGATAACTGAACTAGGAAGAAGTGACATACTACTTCAGTATGGAAAGTCTAAGTAAGGACAGATCTGTTCTCCCTGTCTCACTGATTTTAATCTCTTATTCTGTTCCTTGTTAAACTCTTATCCTGTTCCTTGTTAATCTCTTATCCTGTTTCTGAGGGGAGGCTGAGACAGCTGGGACTGTTTAGCCTCAGTAAGACTGAAGGGGATCTTATCTACGTGTATTAACATGTGATGGGAGGGTGTGGAGAAGATGGAGCCTCTTCTCAGTGGTGCACGGTGGCAGGATCAGAGGCAATGGGAGAAACTGAAACACAGTAGCTTCCCTCTGAACATCAGAAAAGACTTTTTTCACTGCGAGGGTGACTGAGCACTGGCACAGGTTGCCCAGGGAGCTTGTGGAGTCTCCATCATTGGAGGTTCTCAACCAAACTACGTGGCTCTGAGCAACCTGGTCTATGAGCAGCGAGGGTTGGACTACCCAATCTCCAAAGGTCCCTCCCAGCCTCAATTAATCTGTGATATGTATGTTTGGTACATATGGAAACAGTGCTATGCAAATAGCTGACTTCACTGACAATAGGGATGTGTTCAGCACATTTAGACTAGTCTTGTTCATGAGGTAAGAATGTCTATAATAAGCAAGATGTTATTTAATAATTCCTCTGCCTCAATAATTTTCACTCTTCTGGAAGCAAAAGAATGATAATTCTCCTACAGTACTTTTGTCAGTAGGTACAAAAGAGGTGTGATTTTTCCTTATCTTTACTTGTGGGTTAATTGAGGCACAACAGGTGACATGAAAATGGGATCGACTGCTCTCTGAAAAGTAAATAATGCCAAATCTAAAATAGACATATCGATCAAAGTAACTCTATGTGTTTACTTCTGTATTATCTTCCTGTAATTTAATAGCCTTGTGCTGCTTTGTCTGGAATGAACAACATTTTTTGTGCTGTAACGTAAAGCTGGATTGCTTCTGTGTTACATGATTTTGTACAAGGTTACAAAAATATTTACCTACTTGGCAATGAATATATGAACACAAATCTTCAATGTAATTTTAAAATTGCTTTTAGATTTTGTCACATATTTTACCACATATATTACCACAGGGTAATATATGGAATTACACATTGCAGACTTTTTTTTTTTTTTGGTAAGACTTACCAAAAGCTATGCTTCTGAAAAGCACCTGAGTTAAGATCTTTGCTTAAAATTGGCTTCTTGGTGCAATTGTTCAGTTTTTGTCCCATCATTCGCCTAATTAAAGCGTCATCTGTGTTTGGAAACAACTGTTTTGTGATTCCTGCAACATAAAGACATGATACATAATGAGACCTCCAAATCAGGGAAACAACAGATCTATGATCTAAAATGCATCTCTTGCATCTTTGACATTTTCAGCTACTTCACTTCAGCTCTAGTTACTTCTCTGTCTTCACACACCACTACATAGATTTGGCACGTGCCAGCCCTTGCTTTTCTCTGTGCCTTCCAAACTGCTCTGCCTGCTCTTGGCAAACTCAAAGGGAACTCCCAGGGCCTCCTGTCGTGAGTGATTTGTGTTTGCTCATCCTCTCTCCCTTTGTTCTGTCCTTCATCAGAGACTCCCATTCCTATCCTCGTCAGTCCTCATGCCTCTGAATCTTACAAGTTTTGTTCATTAATTTTCATTTGCTGGTGATATCTCCTTCCCTAATAATTTCCCTTCTGTTTTGCCTGGCTAACATTTTTTTTGAATGCAAAAACCCAAGCATCAACATCAGGAATGCAACTCCTGCTCTCCTCTATCATCCTCCTTTCCCTTGATTTTTTTCCCCCCCTTTCATTTCGAAGTCTTACAGTTTCCATCTTCTTCAAATAATCTGATCTACTTACTCATTTTCTACCGACCTAGAACTCCCAGGCTTCTATCTTATTTTTCTTCATCTCGTGTATAATTTGACACTTTTCTATTTGAATTCAGGAGTGTTCTCATTTCCCTTAAACTTCTTTGACTTCTCTATAGGCTGCCCTTTGTCACTGAATTCTCTGCAGCATGCTGTATTCAGTGTCCTGATTATCTCCTCTGCTTCCCTTGTCAGTTTTGCCTAGACCCTTCCCCAGAATCCACCTTTAGAAAAGTCACTAGTAGCTCCTAAAATCATAGAATCATCTAGGTTGGAAAAAATGATTAAGACTTTTGAGTCCAACTGTTCTTCTCATCCCATGAGACCTTTTTAATTTTCCTCATACATCATTCTGAAATGGTCTCATCTTACTGCCTCTAAATATATCCTCCCCGTCTTACACACTTGTTCCTTTTCTCTCTTTTGACTGTGGGACTTTTTCTCCAGCCAGGTTCTTGAGAAAAAGAGGTTTCTGCAGCTGATGACTTCTGAAACTGCTGGCCAACTTCAACAAAACTGCACTAAGGTACAGGAACTGGAGCTAAGCTGGGAAGGGAATTGAGAGAACTGGGGAAGTCCTAGGGAATGGCAGCGGGCGAGGGGTTCTTGTACAGGAATTTAGGCTGTGTTGGTCAGGTATTAAGCTATAGGTACGAATCCAATAAAAACCAGGCTTCATGTGCTCACAAAATACTGTTTTCTTTAAAGCTGCTACTTCCATCTGAAATGGATCCTCTTTCCTATGCACCAACCATTTTTTGCCTTAAACCTCTGCATAAACCAAATTTTGTTTGCTTCTCTGATCACTACTCCTGTCTTCTGTGCTTATTGTATCATTGGGCCTCCAGCGCTATTTAAAATGTCAGAATTCATAACATTCACTAACTTCAGAAGATAGCAGACATTATTTTAAATTTGATCCAAGCGCGTCCTCTCTTTGCCTTCCCTTAGCTGTTTTTGCCATGTTCCCAGTTTGACTGATGCAGATTGGCATTTCAAAGGCTAAAACTATTTGTAATATTACTGTGCTGAGCAGTTACTGAAGTAAAACCCACAAAACTCACGCAAGAGAAATACCCCTGCTTAGCATTTCACTGACAGGGTTTGTAACAGATGGGTTTAACGAGCGTGTGGCTCCAGAAGGAACTAAGAAACAGCGCATCACCTGGGTCGACCAGCTGTTAAGCATCACAGAATCACAGAATCTTCTAGGTTGGAAGGGACCTTAAAGATCATCTTGTCCAACCGTCAACCTGACTGACAAAAATAGACACCCCCACAACAAACAAGGAGCATCATCACTAAACCATACCTCCCAGCACTACATCAACCCGTCTTTTGAACCCCTCCAGGGATGGTGCCTCAACCACCTCCCTGGGCAGCCCATTCCAATGGCTGAGAACCCTTTCAGTGAAAACATTTTTCCTAATATCCAGCCTGAACCTCCCCTGGCGTAACTTGAGGCCATTTCCTCTTGTCCTGTCGCCTGTGACTTGAGAAAAAGAGACAGCCCCTCCCTCAGAGAAAGCCCTCTGTCAAATCAGTGCCCCCCTGAGTAACGTAAACCAAGTCATCACCTATGATTTCCTGAACTTCATTCTGGTTCATAGCCGGTTTCGCTGCTTTGTCCTTTGAAGAGGAGGATTTTGCCCCTGTCAGGCTGTGTGTAGCCATGTATTCATGTGTGTAAAGTGCTTGCATCAAGTCGTTTATAAACTTTTGAGGTTTGCTCTTGTTACACAGTGCAATCTGCCACTTTTCGATCTTGAACTGGAAAACACAATTGGTCATAGGCATAGTTATTGCAGTTCTCTAGAAATATTATGTAGCATTATATAATATTTTTTCTTTTTTTTTAAGCCACAATTTCGAAAGTAATCTCTGCAAACTGTACGCTTGAGAGCAACACTAAACTTGCATACCATGCACCCCTACACACGGGGGGATTTTTTTGTCAGAAGCAAGTGTGGGGCAGAGGAAGGACCCCGTTCATCCTAGCAAACGCGTCACCAGGCCATCCTGGTTACTCACCAGTGGAGACAGGACACGTTCAGACACATCTAAAGCCTTCTGCTTGCTCTCCACGGGGGCTGGCTGGGATCCAGTTCTGGCACGGATTCCCTACAGCCTCGGGAGCGTGGCACTGTGCCCAAGCTAATATTCCTGCCTCCCAGCAGACATGCCCTAAGAACTGGGACATCTGGTCCTGGGCTTGTGAGAGTGACTTCTACACACGCAGCGGTCGTACAGCCAAAGTATTTGAACTCTACTGATGGGCAATTTTTGAGCTACCTCTGTTAGGTAAGGCTAAAAAATGAGGTTATGTTAGGTAATGCTGAGAAAATTAGGTCTTTTTATTTCTTTGGAGATGTTAGGTGAAATTTTATGTATTGCAATATTCGGTAAACACATCACACCTTGATAATTCTTCGTAGATTTCTTTGGGTTTTAGGACTCCGTGAGAACATAGGAGAATGATTTCCACTGACTGGCACGACTCGGTGCATAACAATGTTTATGTAAATTGTGAATGCAGAAGCTAGAATTATTCTTTTGGTTGCATCTTTGTATTTTTCATGTACAGCCTCTGTGCCTCATATTTCTCAATTACGCTCTGTTATAACTACAGAGAATAGGGGAACATCTTTACTCAGCATCCATATTTACATAGGTGTTTCTACTTAACTGCTGGCCAGTGTCTGGAAGAAGAGCAGAAAAATACCATTCTCCATTTACTTACTAACAGTTTAAACAGACTGCTGGTATTTTTCTTAGATTCTCTCTGAAACACTACCAGTTCCCTTTTGGCATCCATTAGGCTGGAAGTGATGCCAGGATCTTGGTATTTTCTTCATGCCCCCACGTTCTGCCCTCAGTCCCAGATGTGCAAAGCCACAGAAATCAAAGTGAGTTTGAGTGTACCAGCACACAATACTGAGTCTAGTGTTTCTCATGGAAAGATCTTTCTGCACAAAAGGAGCTCTCATTCATCACGTCACCAACTGACTGATGATAAAATGATTTTTGCTGATGCGTTTTTTTTTTTTTTTTAAATATGTGTTATAGCCTAACAGTAAAGTTTGTATTGTAGAAAGTTTTCATTTTCATGCCTGAAATTGCCTTTTCACTGACCTGTTTTTCGGTCTGTTGCTCCTCATCTTCCCCATTCAGAGTTACTGGTGAGCTGGAGTTGCTGTGCAGAGCTGCATATGAATCTGCTAACGGGTGGGGAGATGCTTTCCAAACAGCAGGTGAGTGCAGGCTGGATGCAGGTGATGTCACTCCCCCTTTCAGCAGGGCTTCTGCCATCCCTACCAGTTCCTCAAAATGGGTGACTGCCTGTGGCAACACTGAAATCAAATGGAAAGGGAGGGATGAAATAGTATGGAAGCTTTCAGACTCTAATTATACATCTAAGGATGTATATTTTTGCAGTAAGATTCCTGTCATAATGCAAGAGAGTCAAAGCAGTCAGCAAAGATGCTTCAACATCTTTTTTCCTATTTTCTCAAAAATTTTCTTGCCGTTCTGTTGTGCCCACCCATGAAGATCTGGCCTCCCTTCCTAGAACAGGGTAGATCAGTTCTCTGCAAGGCTAAGAGGAACCATCAGTTTATGCCCATGCTGGCACTAAACAGGCTATTTATCTCTTTTATTTTTGCTATCTGAAAATCTTACAAGTCTCTAAAGCTACTGAATATGGGCTAAGTAATGTTATGTCTGATTTATTTTTATTTTTTGCTTTAAAGAAATTACATAAACTGCACAGACTTCTTTTTTTCCTTCTTTTAAATCTATAGATAGTATCTTTTAAATAACCTTTTCTCCAACTAATATTTAAGAAGATTCATTAGAATTCACTAACATTAAGAAGAATCAATTCAGAGCAAAAAGGATGCAAGGGATAAAGAATCAGCAAGATACAGAATCACTAAATTACAGAAAATCCTGTAAAAGACTAATACAAGTGCTTAAGGTACAAGGCAAACGCACCTAAATGGGTAAGAAAAGTTGTCAGACACTAACAAAATGTTTAAAAATAGTATTCAAAAAGGTGGAGATGAATGATTCAAACCAAGATGAATAATGTATGAAGTGGAATCAGGTGGGCAATGAAACTGCTAAGTGTGAGCAAAATCATAGAATGGTTTGGGTTGGAAGGGACCTTAAAGATCATGGAATTCCAACCCCCCTGCCCTGGGCAGGGACACCTCCCACCACACCAGGTTGCTCCAAGCCCCATCCAGCCTGGCCTTGAACACTTCATGTGACAATAAAAAAACAGAAAAGAGATACTAGGCTGTCTAGGGATGGTATGGTGTACCTGGCAAGGGAAGAAGCAAATCCTCTTCAAACCTTATTCACTCACTAATCTTTTAAAAATTTGGATTTGGTCTTGTCTGCCCCAGAGTAAGGGACAGGGACAAGCAAGAGGGGCTTCAGAGATGATCACTGAGTGATGAAGGATTAATTTATAAAAGAACAAAATGGAAAGGACTAAATTTGTTGCACCTGGAACTAACTCATGTTATCAACAATAAGGAATAACCGAAGTAATTAGAAATGAAATCATTCCAGAATAAATAAAATTTCAGTAGATCAAGAAAGACTGCTAATAAATAGGGGCTAGTCGGACTGGTCAGGGGAGTGTTTGAGCTGAGCCGAGGGTTAGACACAGCCTACAGACAGGTTCTCCTGGGAACAACTGACAGGATTTAGACAGATTTTTCCATTTCTGACTCTCTGATTGCATGGCCCCCGCGTGAGACAGTTTTTTTCTGAGTGCTTCTGGAATTAAATGTTGCCATGTATCAAAGACTTTGATGCTAATGGCAGGCCTTGATCGTGTCAGGTGCTTGAGCATCCATAATTCCCATCCAAATGGCCTCTTATAAATCAAGCTTTTCATGACCTTCAGCCTTTCCTCTTCATCACAATAATTCCCCTGACTTTACCTTGAAGCATCACCAGGGACTGCCGTAGGCGGCAGTTCTCTCTCATGGTGTCTGTCAGCTTCCTCTTGAGGCTTTTTATTTTGGCACACAATTCTACCTTGGATAGCTGAAATAAAGGCTCTTCATCATCACTGCTACTTTCACTGTACAGAAAGTTGCTCCCTGAATAGGGTTCTCTCTGGAAAAAAAAAAAAAAAAAAAAAAAAAAAAACATGCTATCTAGAGCAACAGCAGCATAAAATTAATTCATTAAAACTAACATTCAAATAACTTGGCTAAATCAGAATACTCTGTACACAGATTCAGTGCATTCTAGTAATAGCTAGTACCATTCCTATTAAAAATAAAAATGAAACATCAGTGTAATATATAACTATTAGGCACTTCTCTCTCTGTTCTCCAATTACCAATTTGCTCAGGTGGTGTCTTTGAGAACTGTTAACCTCACCAAAAAAAAAAAGCCTTACGCTCCACTGAACAAATACATTTCAGTTTGCTTTTGCTTAACACGTTAAAATTGCTGAAGATGAGACGTTTACCTGTTTGTTAATTAACGATGTTTCGAGTTGACTCAGGATGTTGGCAGGAGCAGAAGCCTGCAGTGATTTCTTTCTTTTTATATGCTTCAACATCTTCCCCTGTAAACAAAAGTACAATGGTGCCTTTGCATTCCTATGGAGCCTTTTATAACAGTATCTCACAGTATATCATAAACTTTTATTTCACTGTGCACTTGAAATTTTTGGTTAGCATTTTTGGAAAATGGGTTTGTAACTTTTTGTTAAGATTTATGGTTTCTTTCCCTATGGTTTGTCACAGCAGATCTCAGCTCAGAAAACCTGGTCCCTTCCCTTTCTTACACAGTGGTCAGATTTCTGTCTTATGGAAGAAAAAGTAATGAAGCTACAAAGCATCCAAGTCTCAAACAACACTCTTTAAATAGCAAAGGGCAAAATCTATTGGCCTACTCTGACAGATTATTGTGCTGAGGTACCATGTGAAGACTGCCTGTATTCCTACCTTTACTATATATTGTATATATGGTAATGCGCTATATTTTGTGCATTATATTGTAGAAGAACCAATAGTTGCAGCCTATTTCATCCCATTATGAGCTTACCAATATCAGGCACAGATATAAGACAGAAACTCACCTGTTCTTTATCCAGGTCACTGTCCTCACTTTCTGAGAATATCATTTCTATCCTCTTCCTCTTGCCTTTTCCAAGGACTTGTATTTTTGTAATTTCATCTGCTCGTAATATCTTTTGCATCATTTCCACCAGCTCTTGGGGGTCATCTGAAGTAATGGGAAAAAAAAACCAAAACCAAAAAAGGCCAAAGCAGAGAAAATCAAGCAGCAATACCTCACAATTAAGTTAAAATTTCATATCAGACAAATGATCTGGCACTGCACTCACCACTCATGTACACAACTTTCACCAGGTGCTTTTCTGTCTTTCTTTCCCCCACGGGCCAGTTTACCAACACGTGCTCGTTTGGTTTCAGGAGCCTTTCTAGCTCATCGTCGTCACTGGGAAGGTCCTGTATCCACGTCGTCTCTCCAATTTGCAGTGAATTATCATTTACAAAATCAAACAGTGTGAATTTTTTCATTGTTAGGTGGTTCTCTTGTCACCCAGATGCTGCCTGCAGGGCGTCGTAGGAAAAATAGCTGTTACCGTGTGGTGCCACAGGAATGCTACAAGAAGACTTTAAAAAGCCCCTGTTCCTGGATATTGGTAATTACCTATTACTACTACATTTGCCCCAACGAACGTTTTCATTCCAGACTCTACCTAAAAGATACAGGTGTGATAAAAACTTGCCCTAGAAGGAAGGAAAGCACTAGCTACGCCTGCCATCAAGAGGGATGTATGAAATCCAGGGCTGTGTTAATCACCTCCTGGGCAGCGAGATGAACAATTGCAGCCAGAGAAAACCAGCCCAGGACCAAGTGACTGGGTGAGGTGTGACACGTTCTGGCAGGGGAAAGCTGGAAAAAGTGCAAAAGAAATGAGAGGCTGAGGGCTGGGAGAGAGCTGGGCTGCTGCAGGAAGAATAACAGCAACGAGGAGAACCCACACCCAAATACACAGCTAAATCCTTTGCTTACGTAAAACAGTATTTTTAAAGCAAAAGACCGTTTCTGGGCTTTTTGAAGCACTGAAGTTGTACACTGAGAGAAGGGAACAAGTCCCACTTTGTGCTTTATTTTTCTAATGAAGCTGATATCCCTTCCGCAAAAGGGCAAAACATAACACGCGTTATTAAACTCTACTGGCAATGGAAGTGGTTCATTTAAGTGTTCCCCTTGTGCTCACAGAAGATATTTTCTACTTTACAATTATTAAATCAGAAAATCTGATTTTGTCAAACCTTAATCTTCTTCCCATCAAACACATGGCTTAGCCTGTCAGTTCACAGAGGTGAAGTACTGCCATGGAGCTGGAAACTCAGGGATCCCCAGATGCGAGGATGTGATTTGCGATTCGCTTGGCCTCAATCAGTGGGGAAGCAAATCCAGCCCCTCGTGCAGAGGCTGTCAGAGAGGTAACTCAGAGCTGGGCAAGGAGAATTACACCGGGTTGTTACGTCCAAGTGAGAAAATCTGGTGGCAGCGCTCTGAGACAGGGCTGGTTCGTTTGCAGAAGCCCGGCTCGCCACTCTTCCCCACGTCTGTGCTACCCCTCAGCAGAGCTGCCTTTTCACACAGGGGGGGACTTGTGAATTTGCACGGCAGCTGCACGCCTGTCAACATGTTTCCTGAGACAATGAGGCAAGCAGCGTAAGAGATCACCACTAAAAAAGAGTATTAAATCATGCTTTTCTGCCGAATGTGTTGAGTGCGATAGCAGTAGGGATTGTTAAGCGCTACCCTGCTGGAGAAAGGAGACTGTGTTTGCAAGAATTCACATAAATTTTCTTTAAAGAGAGAGAGAAAGACCAGGAAACATCCATCCCATGTAAATGCTGGAGAGGAAGCAGCCTGAATATCTACCTGTGCCCAGCGTGAGTTGCTGGAGACCTCATTCTGCCACTGACCCATGCCAAGTGGACCCTCAGCCCACAGACAGGGATCATTCAAACGAAGAAACACACAGACAAAGCAGAACCCAAAGGAAGAAAAGTTTCAGGACTGAGACCTCACTAGACATAGGTACGTTTAGATAGGTAGAGATGGCACGTTTGTCCCAACAACAATATACCAAGTTTAAAAGAGCTGGTGTGTGCAATCACAGCGGGCATCCATCCTGCCATTCAAAAGCTAGGAACAACTTTCACCACGGTCACGGCAGGACTCAGAGCTCAGCAATTTTGCCTACGTTATCTACGAAGCTCTTTTGAGCTGTCAAGATTCTTGCCTCTGGTGGGAGGGTGTACTAGTAAACAGCTAAACTGATTCATAGAATCATAGAATCATCTAGGTTGGAAGGGACCTTCAAGATCATCTAGTCCAACCACCAACCTAACTCTGACAAAAAAAATAAATAAGAAATAAGCAATAAAAAAATCACTAAACCATATTCCTGAGGACCATGTCAACCCGTCTTTTGAACACCTCCAGGGATGGTGCCTCAACCACTTCCCTGGGCAGCCCATTCCAATGCTGGATAACCCTTTCCGTGAAGAAATATTTCCTAATATCCAAAATTTCACCAAGAGTCTTACCAGCTGCCAAGTTAAAATATTAGCTACATAGGAGGCTGAGAGAAATAAGGAATGGATTTCACAAATAGTCATGGGAAGAGGGATGGGGCTGAGGTTGTGGAATCTCCTTCTCTGGAGATAGTCAAAACCCACCTGGACGTGTTCCTCTCCAGGCTGCTGTGGGTGACCCTGCTTTGGCAGGGGGTTGGACTAGGTGATCTCCAAAGATCCCTTCCAACCCCAGGTCATTCTGTGATTCTGTGATCCACTCCTTTAGCTCCTGGTACGAGTCCAAAAGCTTCCCGGCAGCTTTCTAAGGCTTGTGCTCAGTCCTGTTGTTCCTGCTGCTTTTGAAGGGACCAACTGGCCTGCTCTTCTGCTGCAGCTCTGCTGGGCATCAGCTCAACTGCTTGCCTCACACATAGAGTAACGAAACTACGACATCATTGCCAAATAAAAGGACCAGAGTGCAATAGGTGATGGTTACTGTTTTGCTGTTAGGGAGCTCTGGCTTCAGCTCACCCCACAGACATTAATCAAACTGCCTCTTTCCTCTTTCCACAGAATTTACTGTGACAGTCCACGGGCCCTGGGGATAATACCTAACTGTCTGCTGGCATCAACTCTAGCCAGTGATTAAAGGGAATGGAAAGCTAGAACAAAATGTCTTTAATGAAGAAAAGGAGCAGAGAAATACTTCACTTGCTGGAAGAGAAGTCCTGCAGTGTTTTTCTCACCCTGTTCTCCTGCTGGAGCTGATGTGAACCTTGTCTGAGCCAGGATTGCTGCAGATGCCTGCCTCTAAAATGTTTCATTTGCCATAACAGATCAACAGCAAAATTTACTCTATAATCAGGAAAAAAAAAATAAAAAAATCTTGGGGAGTGGAATGAATCTTACCAAACTTTTACTGCCTTAAAAGTGAGAGGTTGTCGAGCCACGTTTGGCTCGGTCACCGCAGAGAGAGGTGATTCATCTCACCCTAAGACACGTATCTAACAGACAGGGGATGACTTACTGTCTGGGAGAGCTGATTTCTCTCCCCTGACTATTCAGTGACTGTACAGGGGTAGGTATGTCTCCTTACAGAAGCTGGCTTGGTCCAACCCATCCTGTATTAGCTTTTTCTAATTGTGAGAAGACTTTAAATAGTGGGATAGACTCCAGTAGACCTTCTGCTATAGGCAGCCGAAAGGAGGGAGTATGAAGTCTGGTAAAGTGTATCCAGTTCCCTCTTTTAAATCTTTCTAACACAGTTCTGCAAGTCATCAAGTAAGATTTCTGACACTGGGTGCTTTGTTCAGTGGTTTAATTGGAAGGTATATAATCATTCATAGACATTACCCCATGTGCAGCTACTAATCACAGAGACAAAATTACATGACCTTTGAAAGCCACTTATGTTTTGCAAGTTACTTAATTCTGCTCTATTCTTCATTTGAAAACACTCGCCACCTATTTGAGGGGTACTGAGATGCAAATTTATGATTTATCACTGCTCTAAGACACAAATCTGTCTGTCCTTTTTCTAAGAGCAGGTAATTTGTAGAAAAGAAAAAAAAAGGGAAGGAGCCATTTAATTTTTAGAGCTCTGCAGAGGAAACATTAATTACACTCTTAATTTTTACAAACATGTTAACACCTTACGTTCTGCACAGATGCTACAAATTTGCACACAGAATATTGTTACTAAGCAACCCAAAAAGCCAGGAAAAAAAAAAAAGAAAAAAACTAAAAAAAAGTCATTTAAAGCCATATCACAGCCTTTGACTGACATAGCCTGTTCCATTCAGCTGGAGAGCTGGCAGATGGCACGCTCAGATCATTATTTCTCTTTCCTTTCTGTAAACGCAGTGTAAAGTATTACACATTTACAGCATGAGGCTGTGAGATCGCAGGTCCACTGGGGCCAACAGGCCTGATTCTGCTGTGGCTTAAAACAGGGCTTTGCCACCCATCTCAGCTGAACAAGAAACTGTACCACAACCATTGCAACACAGCTCCATAAGAAGTACTAACATTTTATATTATCTATGCTCTAAATTCAGCCTTTGACCATCCCAGTTTTCCTTGGGAGAAAAAAAAAACACCACCACCAAAACTCCAAAAAAATCCCACAGCCTTTGCTAGGCTAGAAATTCATCTTCCTCACTCAAAACTATTCATTTCCAGTTCAACATGTTGAGTGGTAATCACAGATTTGGTTTGTGTTACTTAAGGCTCCGGCATTTTACATGGAACAATGTCAGGACATTAAATACAATGTTGGTGTAAAACTCTCGAGCTGCAACTGAAGTCTGAAAATTCCCAGTTCTCTGTAGTGAGGGTATGATGGAAAACATGACCATATTTAAATACGTTACATATTTGGAAGTGTTCAAGGCCAGGCTGGATGGGGCTTGGAGCAACCTGGTCTGGTGGGAGGTGTCCCTGCCCAGGGCAGGGGGTTGGAACTCCATGATCTTTGAGGTCCCGTCCAACCCAAACCATTCTGTGATTCTATGATTTATCTCGCATAAACATAAATATGTTACACATAGAAACCTGTTCTAATCTTATTCCCCTGAAACCACTGTAAGATTTACTAATAATTTCAGTGGAATTAGGTGCTGTCGGAAGAACGCACAAGTGTTGTTACTGCTCAAAAAGCTTTGCAGCGTGGTATCTTAGTCACTGCATGGGAAAATGTGACTTAGAAGCACAAATCTGCTAAGAAACACAGAGTACACATTTTCCAGAATCATCAGTATCGCTGCGTTCCAAATTCAGCTGGAAATCTGGGGGAGCATCCATCAGAACATTACTGCAACTTTCAAGCCTAGAAATGCACAGAAGCGACGGCGCTTGCCTTCCACAGGAAGGATAAAACAACATGATTTTTATGACTGATACCCAACAGCTCACTTCCTGGCTGCTCGTCGCTCTCCTGGCGTGACTATCTATGAAACAATCTGAGATATTTTTCTATGAAGTGATGCTATTCATGGTAAAGCAACATC